AAATTTTGTCAAAAAGGGGAAAAAAGAGGAAAGTTCAATAAGCTTTAGAAGGGGAAATTTTCTTGGGTTTTTTTCCTTAAAGTGACTTCCTTCTGAAATACTTTTTATGATAAAATGTGCTAAAAGATCTAGATCTAAACAGAATATTTTGGTTTTACAGTATAGATACTTGGTTCAGCCTGGGATTGTTTTCACAAGGATTTTAAACATTTTTTGTTTTTTTTTCTTAAGTGAAAATAGGACCAATTTTGCAGCTCTCCACCACACAGAATTTCCATTCTTCCTTTGAAGACATTTCTGGTATTTCATTAAAACCATTGGTTTATTTTGATTACCAACTCACACTAGCATCCATTTCTGGTCCCTTATTTCTCAGTGTCAAGATTTTCACTCATTTCAGTGGAAGCATGGTGATTTTTGCAGAGTATCAACATAGATTAGCAATCCAGGAGTGATCTGAAGCCCAGAGAGCTTCCCGCTCCACAATGGCTTTGTAGGCAGCCCGAGCTCAGTTGCATTTGGAATAATTTCCCACGTTGTAACTGGTATTATGACATTTTTGAGAAGGATTCGGGGCATTCCAAGCCGTGCAATGACAGCTACGAGATGTCACCAGAGGGGCGGGTGGGATGGATGGCAGTGGCTAGAAGAGGTGCAGCGTGTCAGGGCCTGTATACCTGTAATTTGGGCGTACCAGGCAATTTGTGTGTTCCTGTACGCACTCAAAGCTCAGGGCATAGCTGAGTTTCTCCCCCAATACCAAGTGAGACAGACGGACCCCTGACGTGCTCTAGGGGAAAAGTACTCTGGGCAATGAGAATTTGGTCTCAAGCCATTCCTGTACTGCACTATGGGCGGAGCCATAGAGGCTGGAGGAAAAGTTTTCTTTACAGAATTTCCTAGGCAAAGATACGAAATCTGGAATGCCGGTAGCCCTTACGAAAGGCATAGCTGTTATGAAAGAGAATTGAAATACCATAAATATTAGGAAAATATCTCTGATTCTAAATTATTTTCAAGCTCATTTCAGGGTCTGATTGTGACTGGACTCTCCTAACTCTCTTTGACAACAGAGGACTGATGCATTTCAAACTATTAAACTCTAACCATTCAGTAGTGTCACTATTTTTAGAAGAACATTTGTATCTTGAATTAACAGATTTAAACTGTAGTGCCAAATGCTGTGTGTGTTCACAGAATCCGAGCAGCTGCGTGTGTTTAGGTAGATTCTCCGAGACCCTGGGAATTAGGCAGGAGTGGCGTATTGCCGTGAGTGCGTGGCACGCGCTTCTCTGCAAGGAGCATTGCTGGGCACCCGTAACCTGCCCTCACCACACATGTTTTTGTCACACGGGCATCTCCTGACGTTCCATTTATTACCTCCGCTCTTCTCTGTGTTCATTAAGTTGTCCATGATTACCCGTCACAACTTCTATACTTGCTTTTTGCATATTATTACACCACCTTAAAGCATCTGTGCAATCACAGGCAGGGTGTAGCCACGAACTTTGCAATTACCGTTTAACTGATAACGTGTATTACAAATGAACCCCCCTCATCCAAAAACCTAAACAAAGTTTCCTTGAATGAGAGAATCGGCAGGAGCCTGGGGGCAGAGCTTATCCTGCTGGGTCAGTCTAGCGCAGGTCAGATCCGTGTGCCAGAGTCCTGGCTACTGCCCGTCTGTGCCACTTAAGCAGGTTTCGACCCACTTCGTCTGCATCAGTACAGAGGCCAGAGTGGGATTTTGGGTTGTATTAGCTGAATTAACCAAAAGCAGCACCGGGGATACGTTTGCATTTAAGAGATCAGAATCTACTTCTCCCAGCACCTTCTTTTGCAGAGGAGTTTCAGAGAAAAAGAGCAGTCAGGAGGTTATCTGTGCTCTGACAATTTTTAAATTCTTTTTCCTTTCTTAATCTTTCCAGTCTCTGCTCTTAAAATTAAAATTAAAAAAACCGTAAATTTAATTTGGGAGCCACTTCACATTTTCTGAAACACAAACTCCCAGGGGAAGAACACAGCGGCTGCTGGACAGCGTACGATCAGAGTACACAGCTTTTTACCGCAAGAGTTGCCAAATCTGTCACTGCTAGTTCAAGATTACAAAAGAGGTTGTAGTACTATACAATGTGTAATTTTTATTTACTTTTCTGATAGTCTGCTGAGGATTTAGTAACATTCCCAACACATATTATTTCTAAACTTTTTCTGAGACATGATGCAGCCTCAACAAAGGAGCTCATGTATGATTTTTAGAGTTAGATGATAATGTATATGTAAATAATGCTTTGATATTAATAAAACTGCCTTAAAGGAATGTACCTAGGTGTGAAACAAAACTTAAAAAGCTCTTATTTAAAACTGTAATTTCCTTTACATACTGATTTTTTTTAATGTTTGCCATTGTATACATTTATTAATGATGTTATTAAAATGCCAAACCAAATAATTTTTATTCTTATTTTGTGTGTACATTTATACACACTTTTTCTGGAAACTGATGTTACTGGAAAGATATTGGTGTTAAGTAATGGCGTTGTGGTCAGTTGGTGATGTGTTCAGTGAGTATTTCTTCCGGAGGGAAACCGATAAAACTGTAGCAGAATTTTTCTGGACAGTGTGTAGTTTGTTTTGTGTTGTTTATTTGTGTAGACCTGTGTAGCTTTTAACTATATGCTATTTTGATATTATTTAAAAAAAAAAGATACTAATTTCATAAGTAAATGCAAAAAAATCATTCTAGATTTGCCAAATGTAGTATTTGAAGTTTTGATTTTGCTTGGTCGTTATTTTTGCTGAGACAAGTCTCAGAATCTCTTCTGAGGACAAAGGCAGTTAAATTTAGGTGGTACAGATTTTAAGACTCATGAAGCACAGTAAACTGCTGTTGTGCACAGGTCTTTAAAACAATTTATCACGTTTAAAGCTTTCTGGATTTAAAAACCTTGACAAGTCAAATTTAATTTTTTTTTTTTTTTAAGTGATAAAGGATTTTGGGATACCACAAAGAAGAAATCTTAAAGGGGAGGGACAGTGAGTGGCAGGCAAGAGGGTAAGATAAACTTTATTTTTAAAGACACGTAAGACTGTACCTTAATATCTAGCTAATTTAGTAACACGTTTGTCAATCCAGAGTTCACTAATCAACCCAAAATTCCCAAACACCAGATATTCCTTTCAGTCTTTTATTTAACAACAACTATAAAATCACAGGTATCTGGACATTTTGGTAGTGACTCTTCCTATAGCTTCAACGTTTTTAGGTCACTTCTCTCCCATTTGAGACAACTGCCATGATAGATGGGGTTGGTTTGTGTCTTCCTAAGGTGGAGGGGAGAATTTAGAACAGCTGTATCACGAAGTACTCTTGTTGTTCACATTTCTGAGAACAGGCACCAGATCCTTCAGAAATGAAGGAAACCACGGTAAGGATGTTTGTGAAGTAACTTGCCTTGCACTAGAAGATGCTCTTTCTTACTCAGTTAATGGTAGTTGTTCATTCTGTAGAATTGCACTTTCTTACAGGGGGAAAAAACCAACACAAATGTTTGTGACGTTCTCAGCTCATAGAACTGTCTTGGCCATCTAGAATGAAAGTGAGTCCAATTGGCTGATTTTTGCCTTCTGTTTCTTTTGAAATGTTTGCCTTTATCACTGTTCGTGTTGCATCCTTTAGCGTGATGCAGTAGCAAATAGTCATCCAAGATTGCAAGTCCTTTTGTGTGTTTTTTCTTCATCCTTCTGTATTCTTTATTTCCGTTCTGCTTCAACTTGTGTTGACACTATTGCTTGCCTCTAGGCCTGGTTTGTACCTGACATTTTCATTAGGCTGTGTTCAAAAGCCCTTTTCCCTATCATCTTCAGATTTTGTCCCTCACTTTCACTACTCCCCTGTCTTTGGGTTTTGTATGGGTGCTCGTTGCCACAGTATGTTTACTGGACTTCATGGAGTTTCTGCTGCTTCTCTCTTCATCACAAAATCTGCTTGAAGGGGGTTTTATTCCTTTAGGCAGGAGAGAGGAGGAGAAAGAATTAGATTAGAAATTTAATATTGAGAATGTACTGGTCTTGTTCTTGTGATAGTAGATAGTTTTCTATAGTAAATATATATCACCTATTGAAAGCCCAAATCAGCCTCCCCTCAACCTCCTGAACACCTGGATGTTTGTACTGCAGTCCCCTTCTCCTGAGGGGAGAAGCTCCAGTACAGCTACTTGTGGCACCATTCTTTCCATTCCTGTGGGTGCTGGTTAAGGCACAGTGGAGCAGAGAAGACTCACGGCCTGCATGGGTTCGTCAATCCGTAGAAATGGCACACAAAAGTTCGTGCAGTTCCAGGTTGTATTAACTTTCCTCCCAGGAGTCACCAGGACATACTACACCTGGTCAGGAACCCGCGGTAACGTTGTTCCTTGGAGCTCTTCTGCCTGCCGTCCGATGGCTCCGCGTGTTCTGCCGTGGGAGAGGCACGCATCTGTCTTCACAGGGCGATTACCAGAAGACTTAATAATTATTTCCCAAGGGGGAAGATACTGTGAAAGTGAAAATGCAACTAAAAACGTAGACAATCAAATGCATTTTCTGTAGTGTAGCTAAGTTGTTTTTTTCTAGGTAAAAATAATAAAAAGAAAGCAACGGGTAGTAGGGAATAAATAGGTACAGGTACACAATTTAGACATCTCTGTCCTGTATGTGTAGACAAGTATTTTAGAACTTTGAAGTTAATTTGCTATTTCCTAATGATGATGTTTTAAGTTTAAACCTTCAAGGCCAGTTCCACACACAGAAATTTCCAGTTTTATCCATTTTATTAATAAACAGTATAACATTATTTGAATAACACTTTCTATACTTACTGGTTAGTTTGTGGTAGACTGCAAACATGTCCTGTCTTTTTAAGAATATTCTGTTAAACTTCTAATAACCCGAAGACTTTTTTTTCTCACCAGATTATACAATACACACTTACACAACTGAAAAAACAAAGGAGGAGTAAGCCTGTTTTTTCAAATTTTATTTGTAATGAGACTTTCACTAGTTTTGCTCTACAAAATCTATGCCTAGTAATAGAAAAGTGAACTTCATCTATTTAACGTCTTCATCAAAATGTATGATGATGGGATCATGGCCTGTTGATCTCACAAACTTCAAAAAGTCGTCGGGGCTTAAAGCCATGGTTGCAGAATTTGTCATTGGATGAAAATACACCTTTTCGTGGCCACCTTCCAGAAAGCCAGCATCCAGCACAAACCTCACATCTCCCTGGTCACAGAAGAGCGCTAGTGGTGTTGCACAGCCCTGGCCCACTTTTAGCTTTTCCAGCATAGCATTTTCATCAGCAAATCTTAGGTTTCCACTTCCCACACCCAGTTTCTTAGCAAGATCATTTAAATTGATTTGCCTGTTGTGCAGAACCGACACCAGCCAGAACCCTTTCTTCTTTTTGTCTTTAAGAAAAAGGTTTTTACTGTGACCTCCTTTCATGTGTTGGACATGGGGCATCATTTCTTCAATGGTGAACACCTGGAAAATATCATCAGTGTAGTGTGAGGCTCTATATCTCACTAGACTTTCAGTTGCGTACTGGCAGGTTATCTTGTATTAAAGACTTAGAAAATACTGAATGTTATACTCAGCCTAAGAACTGTACCCTTTTATGAAGAGATTTTAAAAGAACACAAATAAAATGTGATATACTGCTCCTGCACACTTTCTGAATCATTTCTGTCTCATGTATACAGCAAGAGTATCACACTTTAAAAATGCGAAAAGGCAGCTGTTTGCAGCTCCACCATAGACAGTCTGGAGCGACGTGGTGCACGCACTTTTAACTGGGAATGAGAAAAAGTTTGGAAAGCATCTTGGATGCCGTAGACTTCACGGTGAAGAAGTGGATGGGCCGTAGCTCCCGAAAGTGCCGGGGAACTGGAGGGGAAAAGGGGCTCCGGGGGACAGAAACGTGGAAGGGGAACGACTCCGCGTCTGCTGCCGTCTCGCTCAGCGGCCCCTACCTGGGGATGCTCGGCGGTGACCGTGGCAA